AGGCGAAAGACAGTCCCTACTGTGTGCCAGGCACGGTGGTGAGCACTAAGGATCCAAGACAGGCGAAAGGCAGTCCCTACTGTGTGCCAGGCATGGTGCTGAGCTCTGGAGGTACAAGACAGTTTCCACTCTCCGGGAGCTCACTGCCTAATGGGGGAGGCAACGTACCAACAACTAGTAGAGATACAAACGGGATAAATTGAAGATGAATTACGGAGGGAAGGCCCTGGAGTTCAGAGGGTTGGGGAAGACTTCCTGGAGAAGGCGGTACCTTAGCTGATACTTGAAGGAAGCCAGATGGCCGAGATGGGGGGAGGAGTATTCCCAACGGGGCGGGGGGGAGGGGGCATCAGCGTCAGGAGAGGAGGGTCTTGGGCAAGGAGGAAACCAGGTAGAAGTGAAGCAGCAGCCTCGGGGCGGGATCAGAGTCTGGTCAGCAGTGTGGGGGACTTAGTTTTCCCATTAAAGGGGCCTGGAAGAGAGCGGAGGGTCTCGGTCCGTACGCCCTGAACCCTGTGAGCAGGCCGTTCGGCTGTAGTGAAGCAGATGAAGCCGTGGGGATCTCGACACAGAGGGCCTGGGTTCAAATTCTGGCTCTTCCCCTTCCTGGGTCCCCTTGGACAAATTCCTGTCCCTAGATGGACCTCAGTTTCCCCATCTGTAAAGTGAGGGGTTCCTTCTGGCTGTAAACTTTAAGCAAGATTTTCCTTCTGTGTTTTTAAACCCTGAAACTGGGAGAAACGGAAACCTTTGAGAGGCCTTGGAAAGGGACGATTTTCTTCCCCAGGTCACTGAAGTTCCCTTTGTTATGTGATAGGAAGTATTTAACGTTGGACTTAAAAAATTAATAATTTATTTAAGTAATTATTATAATAAAATAAAACGATAATAAATTAGCCACCCTGGGTGACAGCACCTTCTGACGGGACCATCGAACCCTCTTTTTCCCAGAACTTTGCCCGGACCACATTACTGCCCTCCTTTCTTTCCCACCGGGACAAACACCCAGAAAACAGCTGCCTGCCAGCCCTGCGGTGCAGACGCGGGCCCCTTCGGGCTGGGAGAGGGCTGGGGAATGGGGTCTGGTTTGCTGTCCTGAAACTCTGCGTTTTCCTTTTTCAGGTGAATGTCGGCTGCGTGCCCAAAAAGGTACTCTTCCTTAACTTCTCCTCTGTCTGCCGGTGGGGGGGCTGTCTGCCTTGGGAAGGGCTGCTGAGGTGAGCTCCAAAGCCTGGCTCACACAGAAGCAGTGTGGTGCGGGGGGAGGCAGAGAACCTGGGTTTGAGTCCTGCTTTCTGCTTGAGTGACCGTGGCAGGTCACAGTCTCTCCCTGGGCCTCAGTCTGAGGCCTCTTTCTGCTCTACAGCTCGGGCCCTATGTGTGGACCTTCAGCTGCTCAGTTCCCCTGCGTGGGCCTCAGTTTCCCCACTTGTCCAATGAGGAGGGTGAAGTCGCTGGTCTCCAGGGCCCCTTCCATTGATCTGGGGTGTCAGGACCCTTGGGCTGGGTCTGTAGGAGGTGCCTCAAGTTTAGGTCTCGGTTTGCCCCCCGAGTGGCCATCGCCGTGTGGTCAGGGAGGCCGTTTTGTCCTGCCTCCTGGTTTGCGGTGGCCCCGGCTCAGTCATCGGGTCGGCATCGTCTCAGGCCTGGGAGCCGCTGGGCTCCCCGAGCAGCGATCGGCCCCGGTGAGCTGCCGTCACCCCCGAGAGTGCCGAGTCTCCCCGCTAGAATACAGACTTGGCTGTTAATGGCGCGGGGCCGGGCGTGCCCTGTGGGGCCTTCCACTTTCTCTCCCGTGTGGCCTGACCAGCCTCTAGAATTCTGGATGCACTCATCGCCGGGGGAGCCCCCGGGCAGCCCGGTGTAGCCAGAATGCGGCTGCTTTCTGAGACTAGAATTTGCATAGCCGGGCGCACCCTTTTTACTGGGGTGGGTCTGATGTCAAAGCTAGGTCTGGATGTAGAGACACCTGCAGAGACATTGGGCAGCACCCCGTGCCCTCTTTTTGGCACTGCAGGCCTCATTCCCCGCCCCCCCCCCCCCCCCCCCGCAGGCAGTGTTGGCGTGAGGTTCCCGTAGCGCTCTCGGGGACGCCCCTTCTGGACGGGTGCCAGGCGGGCAGCAGGGCCCAGCTCAGAGTTGACTTGAGGAGGCTCTGGGGAGTTGGCAGCTTCCTGGTATTAGGGTGTCCGGGCAGGAATCTCCCCAGGGGCTTGGGGCCCATTGTGAGGACTTTTCCCTGAACAGTTAATCCCCTTCTTGGGGTGTGGATTGAAAAAAACAAACCCAAACCCTCGGGTGAGAGGGAGGGGCCTGCCTTTGTCCTGATCTGGAGTCAGGTGAGGCCAGGCGAGGGAAAGGGGCTTGGCCAAGGCCACGCAGGACCACTGCCTCTAAATCCAGGTACCCCGCGGTCTGGGGGCTTGGCTTCCCAACCTCTGACTGTAACACCTGTAGAGCGTTCTGGAAGAAAAAAGACACAGATTGGGCAGATGGGGAGTCGGTACTCAAAGCTTGGCCCCTGGAGTTTCACGAGGGCAGGTACCTCCTCATTTTACAGATGAGGAAACTGAAGCACTGAGCAGGTGAGGGACTCAGCCAGGGTCACACAGGTGGCAGGGCCTCATCGGGTCGTCGCACCCTCTCACAGCATCCTTGTACTGCTGACGCCCACCAGGGCCGTGTGTTTGAATTCATGAAGTCCCGTGCTCACCGGAGCCTGCAGGTGCCATGTGCCATTCCTGAGACTCCACTGTTTACCCATCCCCGGGGTGACTTTGGGAGTTCACTTCCCTGCTGGGCCTCAGTTTCCCCCTCTGAACAACAAGGGCTGCGCAGGATGGTGTCTCTCAGCTCCAGGGCGAGGGATGGTCGTCGGGCTGTAGCAAGACCCAGCCTCTGCCCCGAGAGCTGGCGATGCAGCGGGTTCCCTCTCACTGACCGCCCGCTGGTCTCCTGGTGCTTCTCTCCCAGGTCATGTGGAACACCGCCGTCCACTCAGAGCTCATTCACGACCAAGAGGATTACGGTTTCCAGAGCTGTGATGCTAAGTTCAATTGGCGGTGAGTGTGGTGGCACACAGGGCGCGGTCTGGATGCCGGTGTAGACGGAGCCGAGGGCTGGGGGGTCCTGACTGTGGTGAATGTTTGGAACAGAAGCAGATAGCGCGAGCACACAGCGAGTTCTCCTGCCATTAATTCAGCCCTGGGACACATGAGCTCCTGGGCTTTGTGCAGGAGAGGTGAAGGGAAAGGCAGTATAGACGCTGCCCTCTGGCAGCGTGCACTTGAGAAGGGGCTCAGTGAGGCACGTGGACTCCTAGCTCAGCTCCCAGAGCCAAAACTGGAGCAGGGGAGGCGGCTTCCAATCAGTGACGTCCGTGGTCGGAGTCGTGTCCTGCGAGGAGGGAGGGTGGTCTTCTCCCGTCCTGCCGGTTCTAGCGGGCTCTCCTCGCCCAGGTGGATGGGGAGAGCTGTTTTCCCGCCTACGACGGCCGCGGGGCCATTTTGGTTGTTGACTGAAGCGATTCCAATCTCGTTGTAGAGTTATCAAGGAGAAGCGGGATGCCTACGTCAGCCGGCTGAACACCATCTATCAGAACAACCTCACCAAGGTCTGTCTGCTGGGATTTCTAGCCGTCGGGGCTCAAAGTCTGTCTTTTAGAATTTACGTATTCATTTTCTGAGACTAGGTCCAGCCTAGGAGTACATGCAGGGCTACTCACGGGTCCGGTCTGGTGCTGATCAGCGTAGGGCTTTGTCCTGCTCTGTTTCTGACTTGGGCTGGTCACCCCTCCTTAGGCAACCTGGTGCCCCGCCCCGCCTGCACACATTCCCAGGGGCTGGTCATATTGGTCATGGGGTCCTGGTCATAGGATAGACACCCTTGCCAGTTTACTTCAGCTCAGACCTCCAAGCTAAAGAGTCCCTCAAGCATCAGCCTTCCTGGTAGCTGGGGTTATAGGAATGTGCCACGCCCAGCCGGTTCAGGGTTCTAATTGTTCTAATTGTGAAAGTTTGGTTACATTATCTGATTCATCAGCCTGGTGTGTACTCTGCCCTGTGTTCCATCCCACGCTAGCTTTTTTATACGTAGAAACATGCAGGTCCCTGTTGCAACACTTAAAATAATCTTTAAGTTTCTACCAATAAATAGATCGTCGTCTTCCTTCTCTTCCTCGACTTTCCTTCTCACCCGCTCGGGATCAATTCCTCAGCCCACATCCCCTCTCTGCTCTTCAATTGCTTTTTGACTGGAGGCAGCCAAACTCCAAACACAAAATCATCTTTATTGCTGAAGTGTTGGAGTTTGACAGTCGTGTTCCTTGGTCAACAGAATCCAGGATTCCTCTCTGTTGGCATTCCATAGATTCTGATAGTCTGCACATTATCACTTGCTTTCAGCAAGAGGGGGTTTTCTTGTGTGATTTTCTGAGGTGTGTAGCAATCAGCTCCTTCTTTGACTTTCATATGTGTTCCCAGGTTCGCCCCCTCAGCTCTATCCTCGTTGCTTTATCCTCAGTTAGGGACTCCTCACGGAGCTTTTTCCTTGCCTGCAGAGTCGGGCCCAGTCAGTGACGTGGGAATGTATGTTTACTGTTTACGTTGTTAGACGTCAGTTACTGAGACATTCAGCAATGAGTGAATGAATGAACGTTCATTAGGTGAGGCCCTCCCTTCTTCGCCCCCACGTCACTGTAGGTCAGAGACCTCCCAAGGGCCAGCTACCTAGACTGGGCAGTTGTGGATTGTGATGGTTGGTGAAGGGGGGGATGTCCTCTATTCTGAAGGCGATTGCCGTGGACAGCCTTCTTTTCTGGGGGCAGGCCCCCCCCCCACCCCTCTCTCTGCTCCAGGCACCCCCGCTGACCCAGCCTTGCCCTGACTCAGGCCCTTCCGGCCATCCCTGCCCTTTCTGTTCCCTTCCTCTCTGCCCTAGGTTGTATCTGCGCTCTCCTCACTGACTGCTCACTGGCCAGCTGCCCGAGGGCTGGAGGGGCAGAGTGGTGGCCGGGGCTGTCCCACAGACGGTGAGTGGAGCAAAAGGGCAGGAGATGGTGCCCAGAGTGAAGTGCTTTGTCACGCTTGGAATGCCTTGTGCTGTGAGCTGTCCTTAATTGAATGACAGTGGCTGTGTAGACCAAGTAAGTCCCTGCCTTTCCCTGCATGTGTGACCCAGCCATCTTCTCTTTTCAGTCCCAAATAGACATCATTCGGGGCTATGCAACCTTCACAAGTGACCCTGAGCCCACCGTGGAGGTGAATGGGAAGAAATACCGCGCTCCCCACATCCTGATCGCCACAGGGGGCTTCCCAACCCTTCCCAGTGAAGACCAGATCCCCGGTGAGTGTCCAGAGGCCGTGATGCCCCCAGGCTTGCGGGCTTCTCTGCGTCCTCCCGGCTCATCCCATCAGCGGTGATTTTTTTAGCTGCCTTCCTTGAGCTGGGGAGGCTGGACAGCTAGCTCGTGGTCGTGCTGCCTCCCTCCCCAGCTGGACCTTCTCCAGAGCCCTGTGGGGTCACTACTGAGCTAACGTGCCAGCTGCCATTAGGGAGGGGGCATACCTGGCAGTCCTGAGCTCCAGACACCCCGGCGTGGTCCGGGGCAGGGAAGGAAGAACATAAGGGAAGCTCGCTTCATTTGTGACCAAAGTCTGGTGCAAGTGGGCAGTGTCACAGGTGGCGAGGAGGCTGGCTCGGGAGTCAGGAGACCCAGGGGTGAATTCCCACTGTGACTCCTGCTGGCCCAAACGACGGGTCAGATCTCAGCGCTTCCCATCTGTAAGAAGGGGATGATGGTGTTGGCACAGGCGGGGAGTGGTGGGGGAGACACTCCAGGCTCTCCGAGATACAAACTGGCTAGGTGTCCAGAGCTTTATGTTAGCGGAAACAAGATCCCTGTTAGAACTTTTGGATTTGCTTACAGTTTGGCGCTCTGGTACAGTGGTACCCAGGGCTGTTAATATAGAGTCACGGCCTGCAGACGGGCCCTTTGGGGTTTGCTGTCACAAAGAGAAACAATTCTGATGGGAAGGAAAGGTCAGAGGCGTCCAAGGAGACCGATGTGGACACACAGGGTGCTCGTAGGCCGGTGCAGATGTTAAAGAGACGTGTTCGGAAGTCGGAATTGAGGACGGAGGATGGGAGATAAATATGTGAGCGTGGGACAGTCTGTGAGAGGGTTGGGAGGAGCCAGGTGACTTGTTAAAGCCACCTCCGGGGGGATAGTGGAAGGGCCAGAGCCGCCGGCCAGCGTGAACACCAGCCGGGGCACAGGGCCGCTTGGCTTGCTTAGGTCCTATGGGCTGTTGGAGCCCAGGGGAAGCGGGGAGTGTTTAACCAAACATCCTGCTGCCTACAGTGAGCTCAGGCCATCAGGCCCCGGCGCCCAGCGCACCGGATGAACCGATGGTGCTGAGAATGAGAGGCTCCAGAAAGACGAAATCGGGAGGGAGAGGGGTTTCTCATTCCACTTCCGGTCCTTGTCAGTGTTGCCACTGTAGACGAAGCTTGTAACTCTCTGAGACCCACTCTTCCTCATCAGTAAAATGGGCATTTAAAAAAAAAAAAGCCCACCCACTACCTGTTATTATTGTGAAATGCAGATTAGCGGTCACAAACCTTAAATGCCGTAGACTGCCTGTCAGCTGCTGGTGTTATTCTAAGTAACAGTAGCAGGCCCTAGGTGATTGTTGTCTGGTCTCGTGTTGGCCGAGCCGCAGCTGGTAATGACTGAGAGATCAGGGAGGAGGGGAGCCGTGCCAGGGGACTGGAGTGGCCCATGTCCTGATGCCCTCCAGAGCGAGTAGGCGTTCTGCAAGTTGTAGTTGGCTGCGCCTTCCTCACGGAGAGCGCCGTCTCCAGGCACCACGGTCTGCTGTGGGGTGGCTGCCGTCCCCTCAGGTGTGGTCTTCGGACCGGGGACTGGTAACCGCTCATCAGGAATGGGGTGGGGGGAACTCATCTGCAGCTGTTGGCTTGTCCAGATGCCGCTGAAAGCCCTCCCAGCTCTGAGAGGTGGTGATTCAATATGGCGGCTCAGGCTTCTGTGGTCTACAAAGGGCATTCCCAATGGCTAATCTGTGTGGCTGCTCGAACAGTAACGGTGGTGGTGGTGGCGATGATACAGCTTTTGAAGGTTTGCAGTTGTACAAGCACCTCCCCAGCAGCTGTGGAGTAGGGGCTATGAGCTTTTCCGTCCCCATTTCACAGATGAGGAAATGGAGGCTCAGAGCGGTGTGGTGAATTCCCGTGCTCACACAGCTCCTCAGGGGCAGATTCATAAGATCGCTATGCAAGGGCGTTCAGAGGTTATGTCATCCAGCCCCCTCATGCACAGAGGAGGAGCGGAGGCCCAGAGGAAGGAACTGGACCCAGATTACATGGGGAGGAAGGGATGGAGCTGAGATTCGAGCCCAAGGCTTGATGCCTCATTGTGGTTCTCTGTGCAGCCTCTCACCGCAATAGAGTTGTCTTGACCTTATTTCTCCCTAAATCCCCTCCCCAAAAGGTTGATTTTTTTACCATTGTCATTATTATTTTTTTTGGCTTCTTGGTGAGGCAGTCGGGGTTAAGTGACTTGCCCAGGGTCACACAGCTAGTAAGTGTCAAGTGTCAGCCGGATTTGCCCTCAGGTCCTCCTGACTCCACACTCGGAGCTCTATCCGTGTGCCACCTTGCTGTCCCACATGGTTGATGTTTTAAGGGGAACCAAATATTACAAGTTCTCTAATCAAAGCATTTTTTAAAGACGTATTATCGATGTTTCCTGCCGGTTACACCGCGGTCACTTCCCCGTATGTCTGCCCTCTCCCACTGGGCTCCCTGCCATGGAAGCCTTCTTGGTAACACTCCCTGGGGCCACGTGTGGGTGCTGGTGATCTTCAGCCTTGCCTCTGGCCTCTGGAGTCACCGTAGTTTATTCTTTACTTCCCAGGGGCCAGCTTGGGCATGACCAGCGATGGCTTCTTCGAGCTGGAAGACTTACCCAGGTAGGCACCAACGAGGCTCTCACCCTAAGTGGGGGTGGCAAACTGCCCGCTGGGCCCTCGTGAGCTCGGGACCCTGGCCCCAGCTGGCTGCTGGTGACCCTCCCCTCTGTCGGACTCCACGGTTTCTAAATGAGACTATCGCCCCCCTTTCACAGATGAAGAAACTGAGGCCCCGGGAGGTCATAGGCTCCTTGATTTGGAGATGGAAGGGACCTCAGAGGCCAGTCCCTTCATTTTACAAAAGAAAACGAGGGAGGGCGGTGAGTCTTTCACGGTCTCACAGCCAGGTTGGGGTTGGAGGTTGGGTCTGAGTGGAGGTCCATTTTGTTGATTGTCTAGACTTGAGAATTCATGGAGAAAATGTAAATGATGCAGACTAAACCTAAAAGTATGTCATGGGCACATTTTGTGTCTCTGGAGCCTGGTTGTTAAACACTTACCAGCACACCCCCGGGTATGTGCCCTGAAATGCCTCATGACAGCCTCGAGAAACGTCCTATGCGGATCAAGATAACAGGGAGTCCCATAAATGATGCCGGGCAAGGCCCTGGCCTGGGCTGGGGTGGGGCAGAGCAAGGCCGTTGACGGCCTGGAGCTGCCGGACCGTTCTGCGACCTTCTGAGTGCAGGGGACCGGGGCAGCTTGGTCGCTTCAGCTCTGTGGCTCCCCCTGCTGTAGGTGCCCGAGGACTCGGCCCTTTGTTCTTCCTGTCTCTTCCTTCTTAGCTGTTGGTTGTCTAAGTGTAACTTGGTCAGGAGAGCAGAGAGAGGTTTGTTTACATTCCTAATGATAATAAATAATAGCAATGCCTCCTTAAGATTTACCAAGTGCTTTCCTCTCAGCACCCTGTGAAGTTGGTAGCGCAATGCATTGTACCCATTTTATAGTTAAAGAAAGTGAGGCTCAGTAGTTATCCCTTACCCAGAGTCACATGGGAAACGCACTTGGTAGCCCGTAAGCTCTGAAAGCCTAGGTGAGCTCTCAGCATGAGCCGTAGCAAAGCTAAGGACCAGAAAAGGCTGTTTTGTTTTGTTTTTTTCTGGTTTTAGCTAGATTAGGGAAAAGAGGACCATCACAGAACTGGTCAGACTGTGTGGGAGGTGGAGGCTCGAGGATTACTGAGCACAGAGAAGAGTCTTCCTTTAACCCTGCCAAAGTAAAATGACCCTTGGCCCAGAAAGCACCTAAGAAGAATGTCCTGGAGGAAGCTGAAACCTGAGAGAAGTGGGGCAATTCTAAGCCAGCTACCCCGAGGAATTTAAAGCCCTCTGGCCCCGCAGGGCTGCATTCCAGGATTCTGAAGGAGCTGGCAGATGGGATTGCTCAGCCAGTGTCAATGGGATTGCAAAGATGGTGGAGCCCCAGAAAGGCACCGCCGTGGGCCTGAAGATGGGAAAATGCTGTCCTGATTTCCAAAAAAGAGAAGAGAATGAGTCTGGAAATGATAGGCCAGTGAACTTCACTTTGACACTTGGGAAAATTCTATAGTGAAATGTGGAAGAGAAGGTTAGTGAACATTTGGAAAAGTCAGTAGTGACCACGGAGAGCCAGCCTGAGGTCAGCAAGTGCAGGCCCTGCCTGCCTCACTTCTTCTGCTAGGGTTCCCAGTCTGGGAGGTTAGGGGAACGCTGTCAAGACAGCTTATCTTTGCACAGCACATGACGAGGCCTCCTGCTGTTCTTGCCCAGTTTGGTGGGTGTGGAATGGGCTGGGCTCGGTCTTAGCAGGGTAGGAGGGGAGGCCCAGGGATGGAATCAGGGCTTGTGTTCTGGGGCCAGAGAGGGAAAGCAAGACAGAGTCAGTCAGATAAATAAAGGCCTTTCTGTGCAGCCAGGAGCGGAGCCGGCGTTCCAGGCACCTCCAGAGACTGTGGGAGGAGGCTCAGATAAGATTGAGAAGGGTAGGGAAGGAATTAGGGCCTCTATGGCGTCTACCTTGTAAACTCTTTGTTATGCCAAGCACTTTTTATAGATATTATTTCCTTTAGTCTTCACAGTAACCCTGGAAGTAGATGTTATTGTGATCCTTTTGAACTCAGGCAGCTCAATTCCCCCGTGGCTGGAGCACTGGGCTTGGAATCAGAAAAACTCATTCATGTTCATGGGTTCAAATCCGGCCTCAGACAGTTACTAGCTGTGTGACCCTGGACAAGTCACTTCACCCTGCTTGCCTCAGTTTCCTCATCTGTCAAATGAGCCGGAGAAGGAAATGGCCAGCCCCTCCAGTGTCTTTGCCAAGAAAACCCCAGCGGGGTCATGAAGAGTTAGACGCAACTAAACAACCCTCTAAGATAGGAAATTGACCCTGCCTAAGTGGCTGAGATAGTGTAGACAGGAGGTGTCATGGACGTGGAGGACTTAGCATCAGCCTGGTACCCGTGCAGAGCGGCACCATGACGCCTCTGGTAGCGCCTCTCTGCCCACCCTGTTCCCCAGTCCCCATGCTGGTGAGAGGGGTGAAATAGGCCCCTTGCCTAGCTCCAGCTCTGCCCACCACTCGCTTCTGGGGTCACATGCGGCTGGTTAGACTGCCCCGCCATGGATGAGGGCAGGGATCGGGGGGTGGGGAGTATGAGGTAGCCGCTGGAGCCCCTGAGGAAAGTGGGAGATCCGGGGCCCAGAGTGTTTGCCAGGGTCTCGTTGGCAGCAACAGGAACCCAGAGTGGTGTGTAGGCGTGAATGTCAGAGGGAGAGAGGCTCGCCAGGCAGGAGGTGGGAGTGAGGGGTACCTGGGCTCCCCCTGGCCCTGGGGGGCGAGAGAAGGAGGGGCCCAGGGGATGGGCGCCCGGGCGCCCTGTGTCCTTGTGGAAGCAGAAAGAGAAGGCAGTCACAGAATGGAAGGGCCGGCAGCGGCTGGAGTTCCAGTGGGTTGAGGGGGCAGAGAGAGGGGCTGGGCTGGGCTGGAGGCTGCCCAGCGAAAGCATGAGGTTAGGAGCCAGGGGGCCACGGCAAGGCAGGGCCTCAGACTGAGGTGAGCGGGAGCCCCGGGGCGGGGGGCTTTGGGTCTTTGCGTCTACAATGCACCGGTGCCTCCTCTCCAGGCGCAGCGTGATCGTGGGTGCCGGCTACATTGCTGTGGAGATAGCTGGCATCCTCTCGGCCCTCGGCTCTCGGACGTCACTGATGATACGTCACAACAGGGTGAGGGATAAGGATGATAAAAATGATGGTGATGATAGCTGGTGCCGACAATGAAACAGACTGGTTTACAAAGCGCTAGATAACTCATGATGAAGTCACAGGACTCTGTGTCCTCATTCTCTTTGTCAGAGTAGGGGGCTTCCCGGGTGGTAGTGAGCCGCTCATCCGGGAGGGATTCAAGCGCTGGCTGGGCGGCTGATGCCGGGAGCGATAGGGGCAGTCCTGTGTGCGGACGTGTTGAGGGGTAGGGCCGAGGAGACAATCCCAGCCTCTCACGGAGGAGCCTGCCCCAGGGTGGGCTTTTTGCCTTCAGGATGAGCCCCTGTCGGTGCCACCACCAGACAGCAGTCTAAACTTTCTGAAAACTCAGGGGCTGTCCTCGGCATCCTGGGGCAAATGAAGGGTTCCTGGCGCGTGGACGTGGTGAATCTGGGAATTGTAATTTCTGCCCTAGCCTCCCCTCTGAAGGGCTGCCCTCAGCCCAGGTGGATGCTTTCACGGGGTTTAAGCTGGCTGGGACCTTCAAGGCCATCTCCCCCGGCTCCCCCAGAGGGTCACAGCCACATAGGTAATCAGTGGGTGTGGTACAGGCCCTGGATTTGAAGTCAAAGGACCTGGGTTCGAATCCCTGCTAACAGGGTGGCCTCCTTGGTCCCCCCCAGCTCTAGTCAGGAGTAGTGCCAGAGGTCGATCCCAGACCTTTAGATCCCGTCTGACCGTACCGATTCTTCTTTGCCGCCCCCCCTTCCTCTTGCTGGCAGGTGCTTCGATCTTTTGACTCGATGATCAGCTCTAACTGCACTGAAGAACTAGAGAACGCGGGCATTGAGGTCCTGAAGTACTCCCAGGTACCAGCTGGGCGCGGTCCGGGCAGGGCCAGCCCTCCCCCCCTGCTCCCCCTGGGTAGTGGGCCCATCCTCCCGGCGCGCATCCTCAGCGTGGCTGTAGGCTGAGGCCGTCTGAGAGCGGGCGGCTCTCCCAGCCTCTCTGCCTGCGCTGGGAGAGGGCGGGCTTTTTGATGGCAGGATAAGCCCCCATCCGTGCCTCCCCGGACAGCAGTCAGAACGTGAGGCGGCTTCCTCGAGAAGGGAAGGCGCTGTACGCCCGCCGGTCAGCGTGCACACCTGCCCTGAGTCCTCCTGGGCTGTGTGGACCTGTGCTCGTGGGCTGGTCTTCCCTGCCCCAAGGGCTGGCCGAGGAGAGCCGACAGTGTGCCCTTCAGCGAGGCAGCTGGCGTGGGGCGCTGCACCTGGGTCCCAGTCTAGTCTCAGGCTGGATCTGACCACCAGCTGTGAGACCCTGGGCCAGTTCCTTAGCTCCTCTGGTCCCGTTTTCTCCTCTGTAACTTGAGGCTGGACTTCAGGGCCTCCGGGATCCCTTTGGCCTCAGAGCCAGGACCCCAGGCTCCTGGGTACTTCTCACAGCTAAGGTGACTCAGCCACTGCCAGCCTGTCCCAGCAATACCCCGGGTGTGACTCCCACGCAGGGGACCCAAAGAAACCCTCCCCTCACAGAGCTCATGTTCTAATGGGGGCCGCGACATCTCTGCAGGTCAAGGCAGCAGTGATAGTTTGAGAAGGAAGGGGGGTGATCGCTCCTGGGGGTCTGAGAGGAGAGACAAATCAGGGAAGGCCGCATGAAAGAGGCGGCATCTTAGCTGGGAAAGACGAGGATGGTGAGCAGCAGAGGGGAGGCGGGAGTGTACTCTAGGTACGGGGGCTGCCAGGAGGACAGGAGAGAGGGCCCCTGAGAAGGGCGGGCAGAGTCAGGACGTACAGTGACCCCGCCTCCACCGACCATCCCTTGTCTTTGTGACCAGATCAAGGAAGTGAAGAAGGCCTCGTCAGGCTTGGAGCTGACCGTGGTGACGGTGGAGCCCGGTAGGAAGCCCACCTTCTCCACGATCTCGGACGTGGACTGCCTGCTGTGGGCCATCGGGCGCACCCCCAACGTCAGGGGCTTGAACCTGAACAAGCTGGTGAGGCCCGCGCTGGGCGGGGGTGGGGTGCTGGCCCCCCCTCTGCTGAGGGCACGGCTGCTGCCTCTCCCCACCCCACCCCCGGCTGTGCCTCATCCCTCCCCTTTGCCCGCACACTGTGGCAGGGAGACCTTGTCATTGCTGCTGCCCTTGGGGCATTGACCCGGCTGGCAGGGGGGAGGCACACAGTTTAGAACAGACCCAGGGCCCGCCCTCCTGCATCTTGCCCTCAGGGCACTGTCCCTCCCTTTTCTCCCAGTGAGATGAGATAGGACTCGTTTGTCAGGCTCTGGGCAGCTGCCTGGCACCCAGGAGGTCTCAGTCAATGCTTACTCCCTTCCCTCCCCCTCCCCTCCTCATCCTTCTGTGCCCGCGGGGCGCCACGGCTGACGGAGGCCGGCACCACTGAGCTAGGGAGCGCTGGCTCCGCTCTTCCCTGCCTCCTTTGGCAGAGGTCCCAAACAGTGCGGCTGTCCCGCCTCCAAAGCGCCTTTCACGTGTGTCCATTCTCTTCCTGCCCGCCGGCGTGGCCACCACTTCTGTGGTGCCTCGAGAGGCAGTGTTGCCTGGTGGGTGGCATCAGGAAGCCCTGAGTTCAAGGTCTCTTGGACAGACTTCCTGGGAGACGCCAGGCCCCTCTGACTGTATCAGAGAAAGGGAGCTTTCCAGGCCTACCTCGCTCTGGGACAAAAAGATAAAAGTGGGGCGTGCCAGGAGAGCAAGACCCAGCCAGCAGAAAATGCCCCAGGGCCTGAGCATCTCCCTGCGGGATTTGGCCGGGGCCTCGGTGGGGAGGGAATAACCATCGCTAGCATTTCTGGAGTGCTTTGAGTTGTGCAAAGCACTTTACAAAGATATTCTGCCTGATTCTCATCCAGTGTGAGAGGGACAGCCTGTTAGGATCCCCTTTTACAGATGAGGGAACCGAGGCACACAGGTGAAGTGACTTTCCAAGGGTCTGGATTTGAACCCTGGGCTTCCTGGCACCAGGTCCAGGACTCCATCCGCCACGGCATACAGCTGCCCTGCTAAATGCATTTTTGGGTGATGTGCAGTGAGCAGGGTTCCGCTGCGGGAAACGGTCCTTAACTTGGGGGTTTGGTGGACCACGGCACCTTGCCGAGGACACTGAGGTTTGTAATCACACGATTTGCCATCACAGGGTGTTCAGACCGATGGTGAAGGGCACATCCTGGTCGATGAATTCCAGAACACCAGCAGACAGGGCGTCTATGCTGTCGGGGACGTGTGTGGGAAAGCTCTGCTTACTCCAGGTAGCCCTCCTCCCTCCTCCATGTCCCCCCTCCTCCTCCTCCTCCCCGCTTTTATCCATCTGGGCAGGTTCCCTGCTCTTATCCTCCTGGGCAGCCCGGTGGCTCCCTGCTCACTGGGCCTTGCCGTCCTGCTGCCAGACTTCCTGTGGAGCCGGGCTGGCGTCAGCCGGCCTGTGGCTCAGATCTTGTCGGCCGTGGCCGTCCCCCGACCTCAACCTCCCTGATGGTGGGGACCAGAGAGCCTCCTTAGGGCTGTAGGGTGACCGCTGAAGGATGTGTTGACTTATGACTGTCTGCTGGGCTCCCTCAGCTCTGACTTCCTAGTCTTCTCTCAGCCTCAGTTTCCTCCTCTGTAAAATGAGGGGTTGTCCTGGGTCCTTTTGAGCACCAAACTGGAAATCTGTGGCGTAGTCACCAGCCTACAGACGGCCAGCGTAGGCAGCATACTGGGGAGTGGTGCCACCTGGGGCCGTGCCCCCCAGGAGCCTGGGTTTGGCTCACCTGGGCGCATTTCCTACAAATGTTGTGTTTTTCTTCCTTTTCTGTTTGGCAAGGGGTGGGGGGAACTGGGAAAGGGAGGCTCTGGGCGGGGATCCCCGAGCAAAGGAAGGGCAAGAAAGATGGCCCCAGAAGCATTTTTCCAAATGCCTGCAAGAGAAGGGTGGCCTTCGGTCACAAGCTGTGGGTCACAGCAGAGGGTCATCGTGGGGCACAGTCATCCAGAAGTGCCTGGTTTATGGTGTCCAATGTAGCCACCCTTTCCTCTCACTCCCTGCGGCCTGCCCCTGCCACCTTTTCCTCTCACTGTCTGTGGCCCACCCCGCCACCCTTTCCTCAGACCCTAGGCCTCCACAGAAGCATTTTTCCATGAAGGAGAAAAATGGAAATCATGACTGATAACTGGCATTTGGAGAGCACTTTGGTTTGCAAACTGCTTTGCAAATAGTCTCCCATTTAATCTTGACAGCCTTCCTGGGAGGAAGGGAGAGGAGAAAGGTGTTATTCATCTCATTTCACCGATGAGAAAACTGAGGCAGATGGAGGTGAAGCACCTTGGTTAGGGCTACTCAGTTATAAAGTATCTGGGGCTACATTTGAACTCAGGTCTTCCTGACTCCGGACTGGGTGCTATGGCGCCACCTAGCACCGATGGTGGGTGGTGTGCAAGGGTGGTGAAAACCTGCTGCTGAGGTCTTTTATTAGCTTCTGTGTGAAGGGTGGACGCCCAGCTCGCCATGCTGTGGTCATTTTTCTGGCTGCTGCCAGTTTTTGTGGCTTTCCTCAGAATGTGCTCGCGTTTGTGCCCTCTGTTCCCGTCGTTTGAGAAGATGACCTCCGGTTTTCTAAGGAAGACTTGGGTTTTGGATTGTTCTTGGGGGATAACAAGTGGTCTTAAGTGAATTGTTTGAGTGTTGAGTCATTTCTCCGTCATTAAACCGATAGACAGTAGATACATTGAGGGGCTTCCCCAAATGCCCAGAGCCTTCACCCTGCAACCTTGCCCCAGTGAGCCTGGGAGGAAAACGATGGGAAAGTGCCAGAGCCAGGGCAGAGTTAGTGCCCGTCACCTCAGGAGAGGGCACAAAGGATGTGATGGCATCGGGCATGGAGACAAGCAGGGTCTTGAGGCAGTCCTGGCCCAGGGGCAGGAAGATGGGGAGGGAACAAAGGTCCTGAGATGGAGGAGCCACGGGGCTGGTGTCCACAACTCCCTTCGGCAGTGACTATCCCATCCCATCCTGGGGGCGGGACTGCCCAGCCAAAGCCTTTGGTGCTGCTGTCTTCAGTCATCGGCCGGCCGGACCAGTGGGAAGTGGGCAGAGAGCTCGTGCCCTTGGTGCTGGAGTGGAGCTCTCCAGGCTTATGAGGTGGCTGATTTCCAATACGATGAATGGGGGGGTGTCTTGAGGTTTTTATTCCTGGGTCTTCTGGCCATGCCTTAGAACTGCCTTGAGGTGGGGCACCCTGTCTTCTTTACCGTGAGTCAGCACACTTTGCTCTCAAGCCTGCCCCCTGCCCTTTCCTGAGGGTTCTGGTCTCAGGATTGAAGCCGCCATTGTAGCCCCAAACTAAGAGTCTCTAGCTCAGTAAGGATATGCTCTTCAGAATGTTTGGTTTCTTTGTTTTGGCAAAGACTTCCAAGACACCAGCCTTGGTTAAGACTGTCTAAGATGGCAGCCTAGACCCAGACTGTGGGTGGATTGCTGATGCACATGGCTTGATGGGACCGCATAGGTTCATAGCATTCCCCTAAGCGGACAGAGCTGCCATGATGCCCACGTGCTGGGTCCATGAAGGAACGGTGTCCCCACAGCACCCTCCCTACCTGTCTGCGGCATCCAGGGGCCAGCTGACCTGAGGAATTTAAGCCTCAAGAGTAAGTCCCATCCTCATGCCCATCTTGTATTTGCAGTCGCCATCGCCGCGGGAAGGAAGCTTGCCCATAGACTTTTTGAATGCAAATTGGACTCCAGGCTAGACTATGAAAACATTCCGACTGTTGTCTTCAGTCACCCGCCGATTGGAACGGTGGGACTCACGGAAGGTAGGAGCTGTGCCGCCATTTTGTGGGCCTGCCTTCTCCCGCCGTCTCTCAGGGAAGGAGGAGCGGTGTTCAGGCTCCCCAGCGGGCCTTGCCTTCGGGCTCGCCTCCCTCCTCCCTCCTCCCTCTGCCCTTGTGCCTCTTGGGAAGCCCAGGACGGAGATGGTGTTCATTTGCCTTTCAGATGAAGCCATTTCTAAGTATGGGAAAGAAAATGTGAAGATCTATGTGACCGCCTTTACCCCCATGTACCATGCGGTGACTAGAAGGAAAACCAAGTGTGTGATGAAGATGGTGTGTGCCCTCCAGGAAGAGAAGGTAGAGGGCCACGCCTGTACAGTGGGAACATTGGGGTGGGAGGGAACTGGGGAGCTTCCATGAGGAGGGAGGGAGGGGCCAATGGCCAGTGAACTCTTGGGATATTTCATTTCCTGCATGTAAATTATGTTTTAGTTTTATCTTCCCCAAGACCATTACTTGCACATAGTAACGATAATAGCTAGCATTTTGTAACACTTTATGGTTTGCAGAGTACTATACAAATGTTATCTCCTATCAGTAGAGGTCATGCTATGACATCTTTTTAATTATTTTTTTCTAGTTAAGTAAACATTTATATTCCCTTTGTCCTCTGTCTTCAGGGGGAAAAAGGAAACCTTTGGAACAAACAAATTCCCCTATTGATCGTGTCCAAAAGCATGCTTCTCATTTGGCTCCTTTTCCAGGCAGTATGGTTAGAAGGATGGAGGAGCGGGCGTTCGCTCCTAAAGGGTGGGGACGGGGTGTCTGGGCAGAGGCTGCACGTGGGAAGAGCCCGCTGCAGGGTCGCAAGGCGAATCCTTCCCCCGCTTCCTCCTCTGTCCTGGGAAGGTGTTGGGAGGATGGCTGGCCACATCTCCGAGGGGCCTCCAGGCTCCTGAGCCTTCCTGGAACGGATATGGGGTGTGCGTTTTGGGAGGAGGTGCTCTTCTATGGCTAAACTGCCCCCACGAGCAAGTCACATCTGAGAGTCACAGAGTATCACAGTAAAGACCCCTCCAAGCTGTCCTGAGCTGCACAGGAACACCCCAGAACATCCTCCCAAAATGGGGTCACCCAGCCTCCACTTGAGGTCCTCTGGGGACAGGAGCCCTCTGCTTCCCTGCGTGGCCCATTCATTCCCCTTAGAGGAGATGGAATTCCTTGGAAATGGGTTGTTTCCTCATGCCTGAATCTCCCCCCTCGTTCAGCTCCCGAGCCTCAGTGCCAAGGACTTTGTCTCACATCCTCATAGAAATACCAGTTGTTGTCATTCACCTTCTTCATGATAGGAGGATGGGAAGAGCTGTCCTGAAGGTTCTTGCTGAAGGGACCTTGGAACCAAAGCTTTTAATTTTTAGAACATTTCCTAGGTGTTCCTGAGGAGCAGTGGAGACCCACTGTGCGCAGGCTTGTGGTGGAAGGTGTCCACGCTGGCTGCCGGGTAAGGTCTAATGATCTCTGCCTTCTCCAGGTGGTGGGGATCCACATGCAGGGAATCGGGTGCGACGAGATGCTTCAAGGCTTTGCGGTGGCTGTGAAGATGGGGGCCAGAAAGGCCGACTTTGACAACACGGTGGCCATCCACCCAACCTCTTCGGAAGAGCTGGTCACGCTCCGCTGAGAGAGGCAGACCCTTGGGGACCACTGCCAGGTGCCTCTTTTCTCCTTCCTCTTTTGTAGACTGTAAATTTCAGTCCAGTTCCCTTATGGTCACAGAGATTTTCAATAAATAGTAGACATGATTTCTGTCACGGAGCCCGCTTTTGTTTTTCCGTCCTCTCGCACCGGCTGGCCCAGTTTTCCAGGGTTAGACACTGAGGGAATTAGGACAGTGAGTGGTTAATTGTGGGAGCTGAGCGACCCACACTGAGTCCATCCTGTGACTTGGTTCTGGAGCTGGCTCAGTTCCCTTTCTATTCAATTATGGGTCGGGTCCAATTTCTGTCTTGGGAGAAAACTTTATTTGGTCGTGGGAATTGAGAGAAAACCTTATTGCATTGTTTGAACCTACCCCCTCCTGGCTGGGATGCTGGGCCACCTTTCCCTGCTGTTTACAGACCCTCAACTAGGGACCTAGGCAGCGCATAGAGCCCTGGGCCTGGAATCGGGAAGACTCATCTTCCTGAGTTCAAATCCAGCCTCAGGCACTTCCTAGGGGGGTGACCCTGGGTGAGTCACTTCACCCTGCTTGCCTCAGTTTCCTCATCTGTAAAATGAGCTGGAGAAGGAAATGGCAAACCGCTCCAGTATCTTTGCCAAGAAAACCCCAAAGAGTCGGATACGAGTGAATGACTCAACAGTGACAAACAACGGCGAGGGACGTGGGTTATGCTGAGCAGAAACTCGATCTTAAGACGGATGAAAGACTTTTCTCCACGTCTGTCCCCGGCTCTGCTCTGTCACATAAGGAAGAGAACAGTAGACCTGTGTGGCTTGACCCTGGAGACATGACAGGACGTGATGGCGACTCGCTATCTGAGGAGAAATCGCAGAGGTCCCTTTTCTACTTTTTCTTTTTTTTTTAATTTTAAATAATTTCTATTATTTAGAAATTTCAACATTCATTTCCATAACATCGAGTTAAATTTTCTCCCCTTCCATCCCCCCCCAAGGTGGCATGCAATCTGACATAGGTTCTACTTATACATTCCTATTAAGCGTATTTTCACATTAGTGATGTTTGTAAGTAAGAATTAGCACCAATAGAAGGAACCACCAGAAAGAGGAAACAAGACACAACAGAAGGAAAAAAAAGCAAACAGTCTGCTTCAATCTGCATTCAAACTCCAGAGTCCTTCCTTTGGATGTGGACAGCATTTTCTATCACGAGGCCTTTACAGCTGTCTTAGATCCTTGCATTGTTGAGAAGGGTTAAGTCTATCAAAGTCAGTCATCACACAATGTGGCTGTTATTGTGTACAACGTTCTCCTGGTTCTGCTCACTTCACTCAGCATCAGACCATACGAGTCTTTCCAGGTTTTTCTGAAGTCAGCCTGTTCATCATTTCTTCAAGCACAATAGTATTCCATTACATTCACATACCATAACTTGTTCAGCCATTCTCCAATTGATGGGCATCCTCTCAATTTCCAATTCTTTGCCACCACAGAAAGAGCTGCTGTAAATATTTTTGTACATGTGGGTCCTTTTCCAATTTGTATGATCTGTTTGGGCTAGAAGTGCTATTGCTGGGTCAAAGGGTATGTACATTTTTATAGCCCTTTGGGCAGAGTTCCAAATTGCTCTCCAGAATGGTTGGATCATTTCACAACTCCACCAACAATGCATTAGTGTTCCTATTTTCCCACATCTTCTCCAACATTTATCATTCTCCTGTTTTGTCATGTTGGCCAATCCGCTAGGTGTGATGTGGTACCTCAGAGTTGTTTTGATTTGCATTTCTCTAATCAATAGAAATTTCTTTTCTACTTCTACTGAATTTTTAAAAAGTAACCTTGAAATCTGGTTTGAAGAATTTAGATTTTAATTGGAAAGATAGGCCATTAGGTTATTCTGAAATGGCATTTTCAAAGGGAGAACTTTTTTTTTTTTTTTTTTGGTAAGGCAGTTGGGGTGAAGTGACTTGCCCAGGGTCACACAGCCAGTAAGTGTCAAGTGTCTGAGGCCATATTTGAACTCAGGTCCTGCTGACTCCAAGGCCCGAGTTCTATCCACTGCCACCTAGCTGCCTCAGGAGAACCTATTAAAATCAGTAAATATGCATATTTCCTAGCATGTATACATGTGTGCGTGTTTAAATATATTTGTGATTAGACAAGTGTTCTTAAGCAACAGGCACAGTGCTGGGTGCTGTGAACACAGAGACAAAAGTAAGACTGCCCTGCCCATGAGGGGTTTACTTCTAGATGGAGGAGACATGGAAAGAATGTACTGAGCAGACTTTTAAAAATGAAGGCAAGATGGTTTGGGGCAGTGGGGCTCTAGCAACCGGAGAGACCAGGAGAGGTTTCTTCCAAAAGCTGGAGGTGAGGGGAGAGGGTGTTCCAGGCATGAGGGCCTAGGGGCAGCTAGTACAAAGGTGTGGAGAGCAGAGATTGCGCTGTGTGTGTGTGTGTGTGTGTGTGTGTGTGTGTGCGCACAGGCCGAGGATGCCGGTGCGCGAGGGGCATAGAATGTGAGAAGCGAGAAGACGGGAAGGGTCAGTGGTGAGGGGCTTCTATTTGCCCTCCATGAGTGTGGCACACAACCTCCCTGAGGGTCTCTGGGAGCTGCGGGGGCAGCACTGGAGCTGCCGTCACGAGCCTCCTTCACCACGCTGGGACCCTTGTCAGGCACTTCATCGGATAAACACTTATTAAGCGCCGACTATGTGCCACGTCATGCTTGTCGGTGCCGGGCAGGCCCATTCTTTCTCCCTGGTGCCAGGCTCCTGGGGTGTGGTGTGCATGCCTAGGGAAGGGGATAAAAAACATTTATGTAGCATCTACTGTATGCCTGGACCTGGGTAAGGGCTTTACAAACACGAACTCCCCGGAGCCTCACAACCACCCTGCTGGTGCTGGGGAAACTGAGGCAGGCTAGTGGTTCACAATCTCGTCCAGGGTGGCACAGTGCTAGGACTAGCCAGGGGCAGGATTTGAACTCGGGTCTTCCTGCCGGCGCTCTCCGCACTGTGGCGCCCTCTAGTGGCCGCAACCTGCACCGGCGCCTCCTCTTGGTCGGCAACCAGGGGTTCCCAGGAGGATTCACGTCAAGTCCTCCTCCCAGGGTCAGCTGACCCTCCCAAGCACCACCCCTCCCAGCGGCCACTGCGCGGTCAGCCGGCGGCGGAACGGGGCGGGGCGGGGCGGCGGCCCAGAGGCCTTAGCGGCATAACCCAAGCCCGTCGCCATGGCAACGAACAACGATGCGCCTTTCCCTTTCTCCGCTTCGCCGCGGCGTTTCCCGGAGCGCGTGCGGTGACGTCATGACGCCGGCACGCCGGCGGCAGTGGTGGCGGCGGCGCAGGCGCACCGGCCACCCGCCTCTACCCCGGACTCCGGAGTAGGAAGCGGCTTCGGAGCCCCGGGTTTGGGTCGTCGCTTCCGCCGCCTGAACCGAGACCCCGAGGCGGAGGTCCACGGCGGATGGCCGAGCGAGCGGGCGAGTGCAGGCGCTGACGGCACGCGAAGGGTCGGGCCGGCCCAGGGCGGAGTGGAGCGGCGGCGGCGACGGCGGCGGCGGCGGCGGCGGCCCGGCCAGGACGAGGAGGC